CCTGTGTTCATTGCAGCATTTCCGGTAGCCAAGATATGGAAGCAACGTAAGTGTCCATGAATAGATGAATGGCTAAAGAGCTGTTACATCTATACAGTAGAATATGACTTAGCCATAAAAAAGAATAAAATCTTGCCATCTGCAATAACATGAGTGAGTCCAGAAGGTATTATGCCAAGTAAAATGGGTCAGAGAAATACGAAAGCCATGTGATCTCACCGGTAGGTGGAATCGAAAAAATAAATGAACAAACAATAGAAACAAACTAATAGATATAGACAACATTTTGTTGGTTGCTAGAAGACAGGCACTTTGGGGACTGGGGGAAAAAGGTGAAGGGATTAAGAAGTACAAATTGGTAGTTACAAAATAGTCACAGGCATGTAAAATAAAAGAATATAGTCAATAATATATTAACTATGTGTGGTGTCAGATAGGTCTAGGCCAGGGTGTCTAACCTTGTGGCATCTTTGCCTGACACTGGAAAAAGAATTGTCTTGGGCCACACATTAGATTCACAGCCATCCTGGGCCACAGGTTAGACACCCCTGGTAGACTTACTGGGTGTTAACTTGGTAAGTTATAGAAATGTGTACTCACTATGTTGTACACCTGAAACTAATATAATACTGTATGTCAACTGTTACTTGAAAATAAAAATTATTAAAAGATGAGTTGTAATAAAATTTACAGTGTCATAAGGAGATAAGTAAGGTTTCAGTGCTGTGAAACAGTAACTAGCGAGTGCAAAACTAGAGAAATGACACTTGAGTTGAATCTTGCAGGGTTATTAGAAATTAGGATGAGGATCAGTGAAGAAGTCAACTACAAGAAATTAGTGGGCAGCAGTTATTCAGGCATTATAAGCCATGATAATTAAGGAGGGATAAGGATAAATTCTACAGTAAGAAGAGCAATGTAATGATACAAATGTTTATCTTATTAAAGGAAATAAATTTATGTTAATTACATCTGATAGAATAGATGGGTTATAGAGTAATTTTCAGAGCAAGGAATTCACATAGTTTGGAAATGGTTGAGAATTGGCAGTAAAAAAGGAATCTAGAGACAGACCAAGATTTAGAACTGCTAAAAGAGAAATAGGTATATTAAGAATTTTAAGAGTTGATTTGAGCAAGAAGCTATTAGAACAGGACAGTGCCAGGCTGGAAGTGGTTAGGAATGCTTTAGGACAGGAGCCAGAGAAAGAACACAGAAAGTGCTGGAGCAATGAAGAAAATTATCTGACTGGCTGTAGCTAGAAGCTAATTGCCTGTTTGAGATTGATTGCCTTAGCATTTTGATTTCCCAACCTTGAGGCCTTTGGGAATAGATTTGGGTTTGCTTATGTAGGCCCCATGGCATAGCATTGTTAAAACTGAAAATTGTGGTGTATATGGTGCATTTCAGTTTAAGATTCTTATTATTTTCTTATTATCTTGATGTGGCAGCAGTTTTATATACTTATGAGAGAATTTTGAGATAATTGTAAAGTATAGAGATTTCTTCATGTAATTGAGAGGAGTAACACAAAAATAAAAAATGCAGTTTAATATAAACTCAGTGTACACAAGAAAATGAGATAGGTAAAACAAATGTGAAGAGAATGAATCTTCAAAAGGGGAAATGTGAGATATATCTAAAAAAGAAGTCTAGAAAGAGGCCTGGGTTTGTGTTGCTGGAAAAGAAGAGTTGCAAATTGGAGGAGGAATGAAAACAGAATCAGAAGTTTTGGGACAGGTTTAGTATTTACCTCCTCTGGTTGAAAATCTGAAATTCAATGGAGATAAAGAAGAGTAGGCATTAATGCTGACTTAGGAAATTTGGCATTTTGAAGATAAATACATTTTTGTCATCAAAAATACTACTGTGTAATGTGCCAGAGACTTGGAAATTGACAGAAAGTGTAAAAAGATGGAGAGAGAGAAAAAAAGACGAGAAAATTACATCTTATGGTTAGATGGGCATTTTTAGATTAAAATAAGCCCCCAAACTCCAATCAGCGGATAAAGGGTACTCATGGATGCCCACCTTTATTTGTCTTCTGGGAGATATGACAAGTGCTCTTCAAGTCACTGGATGGCATTTTTTGGAGGTAGTGTTCCTTTTTACCCAGTAGCACTTGTAAATTATCAAGAGGGTGATATTGCTGTGTTTTGTGTTTAAGAGGATTAATTAGTGATATTTATACAGAGAGGTCAGTATAGATAAGTAAAGGGTCTTAAGAAATCAGCTAGCTTCTACTCTAAACAGTTAAATGCGTACATTGAGACCTCAACACAGAACTTATCTCAAGGTGGAGGGAATGCACAGTGGTTGAGGAGAGAACCTGGGAAGAAAAGGCCTATGGGGTTAGGATAGGACTCAAAAGTAGTGTTAACATGACATTGTTAAAATTGAAAAGGACTGCACTTCACTTGTTTCCCTGAGACGTGTGTGAAAGTTTGAAATTCTGAAGCTGTGCAAAGTACAGTAGTGGTGTTATTGCCAGTAGGTGCTGCTGGGACCAAGGATTGCTTGCATTAAGTAGACAGTGCAAGCCCTGGCTGGTGTAGCTCAGTGGATTGAGCGCGGGCTTGCGAACCAGAGAATCGCGGTTCAATTCCCAGTCAGGGCACATACAGGGGTTGCAGACCGGTTCCCTGCAGGCCACTTCCCAGCAGGGGATGCATGAAAGGCAACCATACATTGATACTTCTCTCCCTCTCTCCTTCCCTTCCCCTCTAAAGATAAATAAATAAGTAAATAAATAAAATTTAAAACAGTATAAAAAAAAAAAAGTAGACAGTGCAGTGGTGAGATTACTGTCCAGTGACTGTAAGCAAAGGAGGGCTCCTCAAGTCCAGCTGTCATCCATACTAGGCAGTGGGATGGACATTGGCCAGATCCTGGGCCAGTGATTGTTGGTAGAGGCAGGAGACTTGGGTGGGGATGATGGTATGGAGTGGGGAAGAGCAGTAGGACTGTGTTGTCAGGAAGCTATTCAGGGAGTTGGACATTTCTTGGGGAATTTAGGAGACCACAGTGGTGACTATTGGAGTTTGGTGGATACTTCAATGAGCTGTGTTGGGAAAGCCTCCTACGCTTCTTTCTTCTCCCTGAATACAGTCCCATGTGACATTGAGGCCTCCTGATGAGCAATTCTGATAAAATGGATTTCCCCCATCTGAATATTTAGGTCATGAAGGAATGTAAACTTGAACAGAATTATGCTTTATTATAACAGGAATCCACTAGGAAAATCTCTGAGATATATCACAAAAGGTATCTACACAGTTAGAGCCATTCTGTTGTTTACTAAGGTTACCAGACACGCACCCTGGTGTGCCAGAGCTACGGGGGTTTTCCAGGAAGCAGGATTCAATCCTGGGTGGTCTGGGCAAATCAGGACACATGGTCACTCTCTTGTTTCCTGTCCCATTTTATAAACTCATCAAAATGACCAACAGTGTCTTTCTATAAATGTTCTCTCTAAGTAGAAGTAACATTCCTATATTGTTTAAAATTAGTTTCCCTACTTTGAGTTTAAATTTTTATGAAAGGCTTGTTTCCTGCTTTCAAGTTGCAGAATCAGGTATTCTAGGGCAAGGGGGCCTGCTTGTCATCTCTATCTGTGCCACAGTCATTGAGTTTGAAGATTTATGCTGTTGATGCAGTAACTTTGCCTAAATGCATGCTTTTTAACCTTCCAAGTTCTACATTCATTAAGCTAAACTTCTTCAGCATGTGAGGTGTATCATCCTGTCTTATTCCTAAAATGCTTCCTGTGGATTACTTAGCATTGTCTTCTAGTCTTGCCCTGAAGCTGGAACTCTGTCTTCTACCATTTCTGTTTTCTTACCAAGGTTACTTTACAGATAGATATGTGACAGTATTTCTCTGGCTTTTCCTGGTGTTAAAACTATGCATGGTATGCAAATTGGGTAGGATCTGTTGGTTTTTTTTTTTTAATTGTTGCTTCTGGTTAAATTGTTAAAGGTTAAATACCTTTAACCTTTGGTATTTTAATTGATTTAAGAATGACATCTGAAAATAAGCAGGCAATTAAGATATAACCTATGAGTGAGGATTTGATTGTAACCCTGGAGGACTGAAAGTGTAGTTTATTATCTACATTAAGGACTCTATTCTTTGCATTTGAATAATAATGAAACTTTATATGCTCTGAGGCATTTTTATAGGGTTGAGCTGGACATAATCAGCTTATGTATAAATGGCCATATGTTCTCAGCGTAGGTTATGACCTAAATTCATTTGGATGAATAACCAATTTGCTTAAAGTTTGTTAAAACTCAGGCTTTTTTTTTTTTCTTTTGTGCACTTGACCGAATAAGTGGCAGAATTAGAAATGAAATCCAAATAGACTCCAGAGTCTGCTCTTAAAAACTTTGTGCTGTTTGTCTCCCACAATATGTTCCTGTTCTTAACAGTACTTATCCTGGTTATGGTGCCATCATCCACCCAGATAGTGAGGCGGGACATTTTATTCTTTCAGGATCTTTCTATTAACCCTCATCTACCCCATAATCTTCTGGTCAGAGATCTTGTACAATTTTCAGGTTTTTTGTTGACACTACCAGTTGTCTCCTTCAGATAAATTCATTTAAAAACTCACTACTAACTAAGTTATTTTTCTAAAATGCAATTGTGGCTATTGAAATCCTTCAGTGTATATCAGTTATATTCAGGATAAACTGTAAAGTACTGTGCTTTGTATACTTTGAGTGCCGCATAAACTGTTCTGTGGGATTTTATGCAATTTGGACTACCCTGTTTGCCGTCAGTCTTGTTACTACACACTGTCTGTCTTTCCATCCCATTGTCCAGCCATGCCAAAGTTCTCTGAATGCTCCATATTCTCCATAATTTAAGATGCAAACCTTCTTGTGATTCCTGAAGGTTGGATTAATGACTTCCTCTTGGGTGCCCACAGTGTGCTACTTTATGTTCAGCATTTATTTCAGTAGCTGTCACACTGAAAGCTCTCTATTTGTTTACAGGTTTGTCTCACTAGACTATGAACTCCTTGAAAGAAGGAATCGTGTCTTACTCATCTTTATATCCCCAGCATCCGGTACAGTTCCTGGTGCAGAGTAAGTGATTAACATTTTTTAAAAACTAAGACTATGTTTAACTGTCAACTCCATACATATTGATAATAAATTATACCTATGTAGACCTGGCCATAATGTTGTCTTAAAAAATAGGACTGTAGACTTTTAATACTTCTGAGGCTGAGCTTCCTCATGGGTAAGATGAAATAGTACCCCCTACTTATATGGAGTTGTACTAATGCTCAAATTAGAATTTATATAGCAGAATATATATAACAGTATATTTTAAGTGCCACATACTTTATGTTATTAAAGTGTGGGAACTGTTTGTTGAAATTGATCATTTTATTTGCTTTGTATCTTCTATTTTAAGGCAAGATGGTACCATTTTTGAATCATGTTTTGCAGTTTAAAATGGCAGTTACAAGTAGAGATGTACACTGTTGAGTTGGAGGATTTATTGACATAGAACAAAGGAAGAAATAGCTTGGGGTTGGGAATCTGGGGATAGAGGCAGTACAATATTTTACCTCATTGTCACTTTTTCCCAGTCTACATAGTGTTTTAAACTTCACAGTTCTTCTCAAATAACTAATCATGTGCCTGTTTGTCTTTTTTATGCTCAGCAATTACCTTTCTATGTAATTCAGTAATAAAGTCCCTCAATTTTCTTTTAGTCTACTTCCACATGAATTAATATATTCACTTATTCTTCAGTCCTCATATGCTACTATATAGAGGAAGGAGTGTCTTTCCTTGGCAGACTAAGTTCACGTCATCCTTGAAAGCCGTGCTTTTCCTTGCTACCCTTCACAGGCTACAGACAGACCCCTCCCCATCACACCTAACAAGTTACTAATCCATGCTTTCCCGTTCTTTGCATTCTGTGCATTCTTTAACTTTTTAAAAGTTCTGTAATTTGAACATTTCAGTTTATATGTAACATGAAAGTTAATGAAAACAAGGATTTAGGTACTAACCACTCAACTTACAAACTAGGTCAATACCAACAGTTAGTTAATGGAGCACTTCTGTAGCCTGATGTTCCTGTCTTTCCTCAACCCTGAAGTAACTGCTATTCTGAATTTGTTTTTTTAAATCTCCTCTTTTAAAAATAGTATCATCACAAATGTATTTCTTTGTTTTGAGTTTAATAATTTTTGTTTATATGCTTTTTAAAACTTGCACAAGTGGTATTTTATTATAGAGGACAATCTAATTTATAAATGTTTGTACAATTCCAAGAAAACATTAAAGCATCATAAAAGAATACATAGGGAAATCTCAGTATGCACAGTCAAATTTACAGTAAGAAAATAGTGATGGAGAATTACTTTTTGACTGTGTGGATATTACAGTACCACAAAATAAAACTCCTACACACTGTGGAAATGTAGCAGAAACATTTCCATACACTGGCTTCTTTAGTTTGTGCAGAAATGTTTAGTTAGATTCATGGTGACAGCTTTTCATGTGATTGGTTCTCTTTAACCTCAGCAATTCTTCAGTGGCCTTCATTCAGTGTTTATTGGTTATATAGCTTTTGAGACTCAGGATCCACAGTGCCCCATGTTTCTGGATTTTTTTTAAATCATGGAATCATAGCATTTTTCAAAGAAAATGCAGAAGAAAACATGGGTCATGACAACCACCAAAAGAATTCATTTCTTTCTTTATGAGTTGGAAGCATTTCTTGATGGCCTCAGTATAGAATGTTAAATGTTGGAGGTGGGACTGAGTGAGAAGCAGTGTTAATACTTAGAACCCCTATTCGTTTTTCTTTTTCCTTCACTGTTATATGTTCCTGAGATCTATTTGTATTGATGCCAAAGCTCTAGTCAGTCATCTCCACTGCTGCACAATGTTCTATTACGTGTCTGATTTTTGTGTTTCTTTTTACTAAGAGTGCTTATAATTGGGGCAGATAGGTACAAAAATTTTTACAGCGTATATCTATAATTGCTCTTTGAAGGACTTGCAAATGTTCATCTGCACATGACAGTGCCACATGGTATATCTACCGGCAAGATTTTACCAATTTAAACACTTGGTACCAATGTGTAAGAGACTCTGCTTTGCCACTTTTTGGGCCATTATTTGGTACTCTCAACACTTCTAGTTTTTACTATTCTGGTGAGTTTAAAAATGTCATCTTGTGTGATCTTAACTTGTATTTCTCTGATGAATCATGACATTCTACTTTTTTTCATATACTCATTGGCCTTACAAGTTTCCTTGTCTGTATAATTCCTGTTCAGATTGTTACCCATTTGCCTACTGTGTTGTCACCCTAACAGATTGGCCTATTCACACATTAATTTTCAACCTTCTTTTCCTACAGTAAGTATTATTTAAGGCTGTAGATTTACCTATAAGTATAATTTTTAATACATCCCACAATTTTTTGTATGTGATATCTTTGTTATCCAGTTCCCAGTATGGTTTTCTTTTCAATCCTCACCTGAGGACATACTTACTGACTTTAGAGAGAGAAGGGAGGGAGAGAGCAGGAGAGAAACATTAATGTGAAAGAAAAACATCAACTGGTTGCTTCTCATATGTGCCCTGACTAGGAATCAAACCCACAACCTAGGCATGTGCCCTGAATGGAAATTGAAAATGTGAATTTCTGATTTATGGGACAATGCTCCAACTAACTGAACCACACTAGGCAGTTCCTAGACTTTTTTAAAGAAATGTCCAGTACGTTTTTTATGACCCATGAAATATTTACAAATATTTTTTCTTTCCTATTTATATATTTTAAATTTATCTTTAAAAAAAATAAATAATCTTTATTAGTTCAGGTTCACTCTTAGTATTTTCTTTTAGGCAAAAATTCATAGGTGGTTCTGACTACTGTCACTTGCATCAAATTGTGAGGCACATGTTAACTGGTTATCTTAGTGATGCTCAGTCTGATCTGTGGATTCAGATAGTGTCAGCATGATTACTTGATTGAGTGAAATAGGCCAGGTGTTGACAGACAAATACCTTATGATCTCACCTTTAACAGGAAGCTAAACAACAAAACAAACAAGAAAGCAGAATAAAAACAAAGACACTGAAATAGAGAACAAGGGGACAGTGACCAAAGGGGAGAGGGGAGGGAGTTTAAGGGGAAAAAAGGGGAGGGATTTGGAGGAACAAATAGGAAGGACACAGGGACGAGAACTAAGGGGGGTGGAAATGGGAGGGAGGTGGGGAGCACGGGGTGGGGGGGTGGGATGGGAGAAATAGACAAACAACTATACTTGAAAAATAACTAAATAAAATTTTTTAAAAAGAAAAAAATAAAATAAAAATTTCCCACCTTGATATTTGAAATTCTTCTATAAGCCTGACTGTATGTGGAAATGATTACCAAATCTAAATTATGTACATATTGAAATCAGGAAATTATAAAATAATAAAATAAAAATTTCCCAATTTTTTGCTTAATGAATGTTTTTAATATTTATTAAATCATAATTTTGACCCATATTTTATTGAGTTCTAAATTTGTGATTTTCTAATTCTGTCCTTTTCTCTTTTATTTTGAATTTCCCTTGTGAGGTAACCCTGAGATACAATTCATAAAGGAAAACAGAATAAATATTTATCTATTTTATTAATTTTCAGAGTAATTACTTGATACCCCACAGCAACCTTTGTTGATTTATGTCAATGATTTATTTTTCTTTTATAACATCTAGATTTAAATTTTTAGAATTAAATGTATATAATGTCTTTAGTCTTTTTAAAAAAAAATTATCATTATTTTATTATAGTCGCCCAAATTTTAACCCCTTTGCCCTCCTGAGCTCACTCCCACAGTCAATCCCAACACTGTTATCCATGTCCATGGGTCATTCATAGCTGTTTTTTGGCTAGTACCTTCCCTTTCTTTCCACCATTATCTCCCTACTCCTACCCCTCCCTGGTTGTTGTCAGTCTATCCTATGTTTCCATGCCTCTGGTTCTGTTTTGCTCACTAGTTTATTTTTGTTCATTAGGTTCCTTTTATAGGTGAAGATCATACGGCATTTGTCTGTCATTGACTGGCTTATTTTGCTTAGCATAATATTCTCCATTTCCACCCATGCTGTCACAAAAGGTAGTTCCTTCTTCCTTTCTGCTGCATAGTATTCCATTGTGTAAATGTGCCACAGTTTTTTGATCCATTCATTTACTGATGGGCACAGTTTGCTTCCAGCACTTGGCTATTGTAAATAGTGCTATTATGAACATAGGGGTGCATAAATTATCTTGAATTGGTGTTTCAGGATTCTTAGGGTATATTCTCAGCAGTGGAATCGCTGGGTCAAAAGACAGTTCCATTTTTAGTTTTTTGAGGAATTTCCATACTGTTTTCCACAGTGGCTGCACCAGTCTGCATTCCCACCAACAGTGCACTGGATTTCCCTTTTCCCCACATCCTTGCCATCACTTGTTTGTCGATTTGTTAATGATGGCCTTTCTGATATCTCATTGTGGTTTTAATTTGTGTCTTTGATGGCTAGTGACATTGAGCATCTTTTCATGTCTATGGGCCCTCTGTATGTTCTCCTTGGAGAAGTGTCTATCCAGGCCCTTTGTCTACTTTTTAATTTTGTTGTCTTCTTAGATGTTGAGTTGTATGAGTTCTTTATACATTTTGGAGATCAAACTTTTGTCTGATATATCATTGGAGAATATGTTCTCCCATATAATCACTTCCCTTTTCATTTTGATGATGGTTTATTTAGCCATGAAGAAGCTTTTTAATTCAGTATAGTCCCATTTTTTAATTCTTTCCTTTATTTCTCTTGCCCTGGGAGATATATTAGCAAGAATATTGCTATGTGAGATATCTGAAATTTTATTGCCTGTGTATTCCTTAGGACTTCTGTGGTGTCATGGCTTATATTTAAGTCTTTTATCCATTTTGAATTTATTCTGGTATGTGGTATAAGTTGGTGGTCTAGTTTCATTTTTTTTTTTTTTTTTTTTGCATGTACCAGTCCAGTTCTCCCAACACCATTTATCGAAGAGGCTATTTTTATTCTATTGTATCTCAT